GTTAACTGTAGAGGAAGTGAGACATTGAATAGCATTGAATACATGGATATATTGATGACTACTCACCGCTTGTAAGACTAGTGTCTCTATAATGCAGTAATAGATGTGTAATACTGGCAGTCAGTGTGCACTCAATGCACTACACGTTTGCGTATTATTCAAACCAAAAGCCTTGAATTGATTCACGTATTCAATGTTTTTAAGTACAAAACGGTGTTTGTGTTTGTGTTGAGTGCCGCCAGGGCTGGGGGACTGGCCACCGGACCTACAGTCCCACCGATTTAATGCTCTCTAATTCAATGACTAATTAATATATTCGTGTTTTTTGTCGATTTAATAGCTTTCCTTTTTATTCACTAATTATTTTTAATACTCATTGCATCCTAATTATTAGGAAGTATTCAAAAAGTTTATAAATTTATTTTATATTATTCTAGAAAGTACTACAAACTATTAACATGGCATTAACAAGTTATATTGGGTAAATGTCTAGAATGCACTACCCTATCACCAATCATATATGCACTGTACAGTACTTATCACAAGTTTTTTGATTAGTTTTCTATGATAGCAAACAGACATTCAGTTCTTTCTGTCCTTAATTACATTGGGAGGGCACTTATTGCACCTAGTTCATTACAAACACATATTTATACTTTTAATAAATTGCAACATTTAGTACATTAATTATAAATTAATTTCAATCCCAGTGCAATTATCACTTTTTAAGTGTTTTGTAGGGAAAAAATTGAAATCAATTCGGATTCATAGTTAGCATTGAAACAATTTTTTATTAAATATATAGTTTTTCCTTTATATGCTTTATAAACTTATCTATTATAGATTACAAAGTGTTACAAAACTAAACTAAATATAAAATCAAAAGTTTTTAGTAGTTTAATAAATGTTTACTTTTGTACTTAAATGTTTTATAAGATTTGTTAACTACAGTTGTATTTTCACTGTATTAAAAATACACTTACTGTTAATGTAAAGCCAAAATAAGTTTAGTAACAATTTGAGTATTGACCGAATTAAAAATGTACAAATATGTAATCACTAATTAAAAAATTGAATGTTTAAACAATAAATCTAACCTATGTATTATTTTGGGCAATAAGAACATTGTATGGTATTATTGAGTATAATTTCTATTGTTATTACTTGTATAAAAGTCATTAGTCTAGATACTTTAAGAATACTGCAAAATTAAATTAGTTATAAAATTGATAAATCAACTGATTTTATCAATTTGACTATTTGTTATGCTAGTAAATATGTGCTCAAGAAATAAACTGAATATAAATGATATGTAAATTGAGTAGTATGTGGTTTATGTGATGGATTAAAGTATACAAAAATACACATAAACTAAAGCCAGTTATAGTGTAGTGCAATGGTGTGTGTGAACACGAAATGGCAGTTCAATTAGTGATCAATTAATACAATCGGGATTTCATTGCAAAAAGTTGTGTCAAAATAGTTGAATGCTTTGAGAGCGCATGCGTTGCACTTAAGTCTCACAAACTTATAGGCATTGGATGTGGTGTGCAGAGTAAACAAGAGATCACTTGTCAGTTGGTCTGAAGAGCACTTGACATGTCATCCAAACACATACTAAGAGTGGTTCCACTCTTAGAGCGATTGTCTTTAATCCGTTTCGCCAACGAGTCCGGAGTCACTCGACTCCAAGAGGCCATCGAGTTTGCCGACCAATTGCGCGAAGTGAATGTCGATGGCGTAGAGCCCATGATATCACCGAATGAGACCAAATGCACGCTCCTGAGGCATGACATCGCACACCACACCACCAAAGAANGCAGTCAGTGTGCACTCAATGCACTACACGTTTGCGTATTATTCAAACCAAAAGCCTTGAATTGATTCACGTATTCAATGTTTTTAAGTACAAAACGGTGTTTGTGTTTGTGTTGAGTGCCGCCAGGGCTGGGGGACTGGCCACCGGACCTACAGTCCCACCGATTTAATGCTCTCTAATTCAATGACTAATTAATATATTCGTGTTTTTTGTCGATTTAATAGCTTTCCTTTTTATTCACTAATTATTTTTAATACTCATTGCATCCTAATTATTAGGAAGTATTCAAAAAGTTTATAAATTTATTTTATATTATTCTAGAAAGTACTACAAACTATTAACAGCATTAAATATGGCATTAACAAGTTATATTGGGTAAATGTCTAGAATGCACTACCCTATCACCAATCATATATGCACTGTACAGTACTTATCACAAGTTTTTTGATTAGTTTTCTATGATAGCAAACAGACATTCAGTTCTTTCTGTCCTTAATTACATTGGGAGGGCACTTATTGCACCTAGTTCATTACAAACACATATTTATACTTTTAATAAATTGTAACATTTAGTACATTAATTATAAATTAATTTCAATCCCAGTGCAATTATAACTTTTTAAGTGTTTTGTAGGGAAAAAATTGAAATCAATTCGGATTCATAGTTAGCATTGAAACAATTTTTTATTAAATATATAGTTTTTCCTTTATATGCTTTATAAACTTATCTATTATAGATTACAAAGTGTTACAAAACTAAACTAAATATAAAATCAAAAGTTTTAGTTTAATAAATGAAATGAAAACATGAATTTACAAAATATTCTAAACAATTGATGTCAACATAAAAGTGACATAATTTTTATGTGAATGACAATTACATTTCGGTTTTATTCAAATCATTGTTAAACTCATAACTGGCTTCAAAAAATGTCCAATTATGTAATCACTAATTAAAAAATTGAATGTTTAAACAATAAATCTAAGCTATGTATTATTTTGGGCAATAAGAACATTGTACGGTATTATTGAGTATAATTTCTATTGTTATAAATGTCATTTGTCTAGATAGTTTAAGAATTATTGTAAATACTGCAAAATTATATTAGTTATAAATTTGATAAATCAACTGATTTTATCAATTTGACCATTTATTATGTTAGTGAAATATGTGCTAAAGAAATAAACTGAATATAAATTATATGTAAATTGAGTAGTATGTGGTTTATGTGATAGATTAAAGTATACAAAAATATACATAAACTAAAGCCAGTTATAGTGGAGTGCAATGGTGTGTATGAACACGAAATGGCAGTTCAATTAGTGATCAATTAATATAATCGGGATTTCATTGCAAAAAGTTGTGTCAAAATAGTTGAATGCTTTGAGAGCGCATGCGTTGCACTTAAGTCTCACAAACTTATAGGCATTGGATGTGGTGTTTGAGTAAACAAGAGATCACTTGTCAGTTGGTCTGAAGAGCACTTCACATGTCATCAAAACACATACTAAGAGTGGTTCCACTCTTAGAGCGATTGTCTTTAATCCGTTTCGCCAACGAGTCCGGAGTCACTCGACTCCAAGAGGCCATCGAGTTTGCCGACCAATTGCTTGATGTGAATGTCGATGGCGTAGAGCCCATGATATCACCGAATGAGACCAAATGCACGCTCTTGAGGCATGACATCGCACACCACACCACCAAAGAAGATATCACTCAAAACGCCAAACATTTGGTTGAGGGATACTTCGTGGCACCCAATCAGTGACCTAACCATCGGTTCATACATTGCCGAAGACAATGACACCAATTGGCAAATGATGTCCACATAAATGATATATGGATTCAATGACTATAAAAACGTATCATTTATTCAATTTTTCAAATGAAATGAAAAACATTTTGTGAGAAATTAATCATAAAAACGGGTTTTAAGTGATTATAAAGTTATTGAGGATTTGATTAAAACTCTTAAATATTAAGTAAATAATAATAATACAAATGAAAAGTGTATACAATTTGGTGTTATTTTCTGTTAATCACTGAATCATCACTTCTTGAGCGCCACTCGAAGTGGTGTCCGCTTTAAGACATTACTGTTTGCCATACTTTCGCAATGCTTTTCAATACCTTTCGTCTCCAACTTCTTCGTGGCCTCAGAGTTGACCGAAATCTCGAGCTTTTGGTTCTCCTTTTCGCCGAAACTCGAGTTCTTTTCGACCGTTTGTTCGCACTTTTTGTTCTTCAGATTCAGGATCTGTTCCCTAATCTTGGATCTGACTATCGGTTTGCTTGCGTTGGGTTTTGGCACCACTTTTGCGGCTCTTTTGCTCACAACGGGCTTCACTTCGGGTTCGCGCCAATCATTGTCTTTGAGTTGATTCAGCCATTGGAAGGATTGGTGCAGATCTTGGATCTGATAGAAGATCATATCCCAGAAGCCCTGCAAGTCTTCCACTTTGGTCTCTTTGGGGCCTCTCTTGAGTTCGCAGTCGTCTACCAAACCAATGAATTGTTTGAATCTCTGGTTAATAAAGAGCTGTGTTTTGCCGATCGTGGACCTGATGTGACCGATGGCTGACATATGCACCACATGTTAGACATACAGTAATGGCAGACAAAGCAAACGCGGGATCAGATCATCCCAACAGACATACCCTCCTCGTTAATGCCCGACTCCTTGTCCATAATATGAGTCCATTTATGGCACAATTCATTCATCAGTTTGGTCTCCGTGTGGACCAACTCTCTGAAGTAATCTGTGGTTAGCGTTGAAGACATTTGCATTGAATCCAAGACAGAAACTAATGAAAGACTTTCGACACAAATGTGTGAATAAAAAGCAAATGTTTGTTAAGTATCTGAACAACACTTCAATGCATTCAATGATCACTTGGTTTACAGTTTTAACACAAATTCAAATTCAATACAAATCTGTGAAACTGGAGTACAAGTGGGCCGTCACTCACACCACTCGCACCCAATCACAGCACTCACTCGCACTTCAATCATCCACTACACTGTCCTCACAGCAAATACGTCCCAAACAAACAAACTTTGATTTCAAATTCATTTAGGAGTTGTTTGTTCACAAAATCAAACTTTCATGGCATTCACGCATTCACTTCAATGAGTTTTATTTGTTTTATTATCAAATACTTAAGATTTTTCATTTATTTTACAAGTATTTAATAATTACTCATAATTACAGTACTACTGTACTTCAAATAGCTTCACTAGATTATAATAACTCATGAGTTAAAAGTTTTTGATCAGATTCATTTAATAAATTAGTAAATACTTGTAATGAACACATTTTCATTTAATAGTGTACCTTGATCGATTTCCTGCCACTTATTCAGTATAGTTTCATTGATTGAATAAATTTAAATAATAAACTTGAGTTTGAATGAAATATTTGTCGCTTTTGATTGAATGCATAATTGAGT